AGTGACTGATTAGCCAAACTGTGAAACATCAGTGGAGGGCAAGGATTCAAAGACCACTGAAGTCTGAGCCTGGATGGCTTGTGAGATAGATGATATTATTATTAAACACAGAAAAATTAAAAGGAGTGCTGTGTTTTTCGGAGAAGATAATGAATTCAATTGTGGACATGTTGAGTTTGAGGTTGCCAGCAGGCCCTCCAGGTAAGAAGAGATCCAGAAAGTAGTTAGAAATGTGGGTCCGGGGCAGCTAGGTGGCACAGTGGATAGAGCACTGGCCCTGAAGTCAGGAGGACCTGAGTTCAAATCCAGCCTCGAACCAAACCCTTGACACTTATTAGCTGTGTGACCCTGGGCAAGTCACTTAACCCCAATTGCCTAATAATAAAAACAAAACAAAACAAAAAACAAATAAAAGTCACATAAAAAAAAAAGAAATGTGGGTCCTTAACTCAGTATATGGAGTTGGTATTTATATTTAGATAGATAGATAGATTAATATGTAAATATGTGTGTTAGTGTAATTTGCATAGAGTTGGTAGATAAAGCCACCAGAGTAGACAAGCTTGCCAAAGCAGGGCATGTAGTGATAGAAGTCTAGTACAGACGCATTTAGGGGTCTAAACAAGGAAGCAGAGCTAGCCAAGGAGACAAAAAAGGAACAGTCAAAAGAGAAGACCCAGGAGAGTTCTTTGTCATGAGTATTGAGAAGGTGTGTTCAAAGAGGCAGAGGTCCAGAAGCAATTTCACTGGAGTATCAAGGAAATGATATTGCAAGGTCTGCTACATGGCGCAGTAAGATAGAGCACCGGCCCTGGAGTCAGGAGGACCTGAGTTCAAATCCAGCCTCAGAAACTTGACACTCACTAGCCATGACCCTGGGCAAGTCACTTCACCCCATTGCCTAGCCAAAAAAAAAAAAGATATTGCAAAGGGTTGATGCTAAGTATTGGCAATGAATGTTGACTACTCTTTTTAGAAAATTAGCAGTGGATGAGAGAAGAAAGAAATGGTACAGTAGCTTAAGAAAGTGTTAGTTAAGAGAAAGTTACCCGGGCTAGGAGAGACCTGAGCATATTTGTAGATGGAGGGGAAGGAACCGGTGAATAGGGAGAGATCGACTTTGCAAGAAAACAAAGGGATTGTTGATACAGAGGATCCCATGGGAGCTGAAAGGTCTGAGTTAGAAACAAGTGAAAAGAGGGGAATTTTGGCTGGCGAAAGGGCTATCTCTTCCTATAAGACAGGAAGGAAGGATTGGTAATATAATAGTAAGAGTTTAAGGTATAGAGGAGGGAAGGTTTTGAAGTATGAACGTCAGATGTCCTCCACTCATTTATTTGGCACCTACTTTGAACAGTAAGATATTAGAACGCTAGAGAAGACACAAACAAGGCACTTAAGATGCTTACACTGTATAGTTAAGGTAGGTGAGACATTAATAGGTGGGTACAAAAACATCTGATTTCATCAACATGGAGATCAAGGAAAGATTCACTGGGGAGGAAGCATCTTCTCAATAAAATAGGAAACAAAGTCTTTATGCAGAGTGGATGGGGGAAAGGATGTATACCAGATTTTATAGGGAAGGAGACGAAACTTGTGGAAATGCTATGAGATAGACATTTTGTGTGTGTGTGTGTGTGTGTGTGTGTGTGTGTGTAAAGACTTATTGGTGTGTGCTATTGTTCTCGTAAAAAAAAATCCTACAATTTTAATCTTTATCCCTGTGCCCATAACTGCAAAATCCTCATCTCCATCTGGGAAAGCAGGCTCTACCCACCAGCTGGTGGGCCTTATCGCTGCTGCCCTGTGAATTGGACAGTAGGGGGAAGTAGATCAGCAGGTTAGGTACCATTTCTCCCATCCTGTGCAAGTTCAGAATGAACAGCTTTCTCCAGCTGCTTTGGAAATGTGCTTTCCGACTCAACCCTCTTTATTAGTTTGCAAAGCTAATGATCTCTGTGTTAATTAATGCTTTTGATTGTCTTCTAAACTTCCTCACAAGGCTGAGAGATTTACTGCAGGATATGGCTGGTCTAGAGTGCTAAAGACCTCTGGTTCTTTGTATCCTCCCAGAAAGCTGGTTTTTTTTTCACTAAACTAAATACTTTGCGTTTCTTGAAACCTAAGGAAGTTTTGTTTTAAAATTTTTATCAAATTCATCAGATTAACGTATTTATATATTAAGAAGTGCTTTCGTGAGATAGCATAAAAAAATCTTTAAATATACATCATATCATAGTGTTTTTCCTTACATCAGTTGAGTTGTGGAGCATGCTCTTAGGATTGTCAGGGAGGATTAAGGTGAGAGCAGCTGCTAGTAGGTTTCCCTTCAATAAAGAGCTAGCAATCATCTGAGAGGCTGTTGACTATTTTTTAAATATCCTAAAAATGAGCGCCATTTATGAAGTATAAACAATGCTGCATTTGCAAATGAACTCTAATAACATGGCCCTTTATTTAAATATTTATGTTAATTTCTTTGGGTTATGAATCTTCGTGACCCTTGAGTTTTTTGAAAGTTTTTTTCCCATAAATGGGCTACTGGCTTCTCTTATTGACGTATCTTCCTGTATCTTGTTGCTTCTCTGCTGAGGAAAAGCCACCTCATGTCTCAGAATCATAGATTTAGTGATAGAAAAAAACCTTATCAATCATCCAATCTAACCCCCTCGTTCTATGCAGTTCGGTGACGTGCCCAAGCTAACCCAGGGCGTAGGTACCAGAGCCAGGCTGCAAACATAGATCTCCTGCCTCCAAACCCAGTGCTCTTTTCATCACATCTCACTGCTGGTTTTCACATTTATCAATGAGGTTAGGCAGCCTTGTGGACACTGGATAGTCAGGAAGACCTGAGTTCCAACCCAGCCTCAGGCCATTAGGCCATTGACATATGTAAGTTTCTAAGAATCAAGCTATCACTTAAAATAATCCTTACTTATTCACCAGGTTTGGCATCACCTACGGCCATAACGCCAATAAGCTCCCCCTTCAGCAATCGAATGAAGGGTACCACACCAATCTCCAAACCCCTTGAAGGTAAGGAACCAAAAATTGCTGATTTTTTTTTTCAGTGCCAGCCAGTATTTTCTCACCTGTGCCTTCTTTCTTTCTCAGATATAGAAGCCAAACCCGATATGCAGTTAGAGTCTGACCTGAAGTTAGATAGGCTGGAATCATTTCTAGGGAGACTGAATAACAAAGGTAAGTAGCAGAGGCTCAGTGGGGAAGCCCTTTGCTTTGGGTCCCAGACCCCTCCCCAGCTGAGGTTTCAGGGGGTGCACACAAACTTTTCAAATCTGCTCCTGAAGCAGAGGTTTCTGAACCTCAGCCCTGGCTCTCCCGAGTCTGCAGGTTTGCTGCTCCCTCTGAGACTTCCCTCCTTCCCCATCTCCCTCTGGTCCCTCCCTGCAACTATCCACCCTTCCCCCCATTAGAGAAGCAAGCACTGGATCAAGATAAATCCAGCATTTAGCACAAAGCCAAAGGTGAGTTTAGAGCAAAGGTCCTTAACCTACCTTTCCTGGTGTCCTGGCCCCTCTGGACCCCTGCTCACAATCAGGTTTGTAAAGGTGCATGATACATGCAGAGGGTGACAAAGGAAACCAATGTTTTAAAATACAGTTATCAAAAATTATTATTATTTTGGGGGGGGCTAGGCAATAGGGTTAAGTGACTTGCCCAGGGTCACACAGCTAGTGTTATGTGTCTGAGGACGGATATGAACTTAGGTCCTTCTGACAAAAGGGCTGGTGCTCTACCCACTATGCCATCTAGCTGCCCCTTAAATTATTTTTTAAAAATGTGTAGCCTCTGGGTTAGGAGCCTCTGGTTTAGTGAGCAAAGATTGAAGAGAGCAAAGAAAAGCAGACTGAAAAAACCACAATCTACTTTTTCTGCATTTTATAAATGTTTTTTGAATCTAGGACTTAACCTAGATTTGTTCTTCAAGCCTTGGGTCATCTTTAACCCAGAATCTTAGACTCAGTTCCTTTCATTGACTTCTTTTATGTAGTGGGTGTGGGAAGGGGTCGGGAAATACGTATTAGATGGCTCATAGGGTCAAAGCACCAACACTCAACATCAGTTTTATCACCAAACCTCTGCTGAACTAATAAAGGCACACAGCTGCAGCTTGTTGGGCAGTGCATAGAATGCTGGGGTTGAAGTCAGTAAGTTCAGATCTGCCCTCAGACACTAGCTGTGTGACCCTGGATAAGGGTCATTTAACCTCTGCCTGCCTCAGTTTCCTCATCTGTAAAATGGGGGTAAAGATAGCCCTTTACTTCACCTTGTGGTGAGGCTCCAGTGAGATAAGAATTTCAAAGTGCTTATTAGCACCATGCCTGCATGCTATATAGATGCTGCTGTTGTTGTCCATCCACTTTTGAATCTGGAATTTTTTCTTTACCTTAGGGCAAAGAAAGTCTTTAAAATATTAAGCCAACATTATGTTGGGGAAGGGATTTTTTTTTCATTTACTCTATATAAACTCCAATTCCACTCTTTGTTTTTTAGTTGGTAGTATGCAAGAAACCATTCTCACTGTTACTGGAAAAACTGTGAAAGAGGTGATGAAACTGGATGACTATGAGACCTTTTCCAAATTTTACCGCAGCGTGGATGCATCTGTGCCTGTAGGAAGAGTGGAGCTGAATGAGGACTTCGATGCAATCTTTGATCCTTATGCTCCCAAGTGAGTTTCATTCCCTCCATCTCTTCCTCCTCTCTCTCCCCTCCCCACATTCCTGCCCCTTCCACTTTTTCCCTGGATGAAAATTTCTAAATAACCATATCAGAAGATCATTTCCTAAGTAGAATAGAACTTCATAATAACACTGCTTGCTGTTTCTTGGAGTATGATAATAGTATGGGCAAAACAAAACTGCCATGCCATAAAGAAAGCCTCATGTACCCTAACTTAGGACAGCCAGGGAGATTAGTCCCGTTCCTTGGCACCAGCAAAGAGAATGGGGTTCTCTCTGGTGTTATTTCCACAATTGTGGGATAATTGTTGTTGTTTGTTTTCAGATTTGGGACAAGAATAAACAGTTTTCTGAAAATATCTTCAGTAGATATATTGAATTCTGTAATTTCATCAGTGATGGAAACTCCCAGTATGAGAATTCCCTCTACCAGTACAGATCAGTGACTTGCCTGTAACTTAAAGCTTCAGAGCTGGGAATGTTGGGATTTTCTCAGGGTCACACAGTCAGTATGTGGCAGAGGCAGGACATGAACCAAGGACTTCCTGACTGTAGCCCTTTACCCATCAGGCTATGCAGTCTCTCTAGTTCTAGAATGGGGGAAAAAATGGATTTCATGAAACCAGATCTAAATCAAGTCACTAGAAAATCCTTAAAGAATGTTAATCCTTATCCAGCTAGAATCTTCTAGTTCTAGATCTAAAATAAATCTCCAAGTCATCAGAACCTAGACCCCTAACCACAAGAAGTAATGTCATTCCAATGAAAGACAAAAGGTCATTTGTCCCAATTTGTTCAACAGTAGCATGGCTGCTTCATGAAATTGCATTTTCCCTTTCACCAGCGGTATTCAAGCAGAAGCTAAAGAACCATCTCTCGAGATTTGACAGGGAAGGTTCTCCTGCATTGGGTGGTAGCTTAGACTTCAAATAAATCCCTTTTTAATGCTATGATTCTCCTACTCCACAGGATATCTCTAGGATAATAGTAGAATTGTAGGAATTATAACAGAATGGCAGGAAGTGAAAGGGTAGAAACACCACCATTGGTAGAGGCAGCCCTCAATGGAATGTTTTCCTGATAAAAATGGAGGTCCATGGTAGTTCACAACCAAAATAGCTCAATCTCCTTTGCTTCTTAGGCTGACTTCTTCTGTGGCAGAGCACAAACGCGCTGTTAGACCTATGCGCAGAGTTCAGTCTTCAAGAAATCCTTTGAAAATGTTGGCAGCAAGAGAAGATATTCTTCAAGAATATACTGAACAGAGATTAAATGTTGCTTTCATGGAGTCAAAGCGGATGAAAGTTGAAAAAAGTAAGTATCTAATTGGCATTGTTTAATTCAATTTAACAGTCATTCATTAAATACCTACTGTTTGTATGGCACCCTGCTAGATGTTGGGGTTACAGAGGTGGAGAAAAAGGAACAGTCCATACATACAGCTTTATGGTCTAATAGGAAGGTATATGACAGGTACACAAATTCATGTGGTATAAGGTAAGATGTGATAGGAGCAAAAAATGGCCAGGTGAAGCAAAATAAGAGCTCCAAGGCTGAAGAGAGCATTTTGCCCTGGGGTAAAGGGGAGGTCTTTATCCAAGACTTGAGTTGGGCTTTAATGAAAAGTTGGGGTTTCAACAACTGGCAATTAAGGAGTCTTTTCAAAGTATACAGTGGGAGGAAAGAAGGTAGGATGGAAGTAAAGGGTCACCAGGGAATAGTATAACTTGGGCATAATGTAAAATAGATGGAGAAAGGGAAGTTGGAGAGAATTCTAGGCAGACAGATTGGAACTAAGTAGGAGAGGGTCCTTAATGCCCTGGTCAGGAATAGGCAGTGGGGAGCCAAAGGGTTTTCAATAGAGTGATCATGGTGGTACGTTAGGAAGATGACTTTGGCAACAGTGTAGAACACAGGCCTGGAGACAAGTGAGGAGCCTTTTATGATACTGTAGATGAGAAAAGGTTTAGGTCCAAACTATGGTGCTTGCAGTATGACTAGAGAAGGACAGAACAGAAAAAGCCAAAAGTGGAGTGAGTAGCCAGAGAAATGTGATTGTTCAGTGTTAGATGCCATCATGAGATGAAAGGGGATGAAGAGAGGGGGGGAAATGCTATTAAATGGACCAATAAAGAGGCCAACATGTGAGAGTTGTTTGAATAGAATAGTGGATCTGGAGGTAAGATTTTGAAAAATTAATGAAGACGATGATGAATTCAAAGTAGTGTAAACTACTATTTCTAGAAGTTTGGAAGTGAACAGGAGGACAGTAGTTTGAAGGAGTGGGAGGATCTCAAGGGAAGGAATTTTTAGGATAAAAGTGAAAAGCACATACTGAAAAGGAAAAAAAAGTAGAGGGAGAAATGGGTGATAGATAAAAGAAATGAAATATTGGAAGGAACAGAGTCATAAAAAAAGACTGAAAGTGGTGGAATTGAAGACATTAATGGAGAACCTAACTTTTAGCAAGAGGAGGGTCTCTTTATTCTCTTGAGTGTAGAGGGAAGAAGACCAGAATTCAATTTATGCTTCTTTTTGAGAAACAGGTTATTGTAGTCACCTCAGTTATTTGATAAACAGAATAGAAAGATGATGCAAGTTAACTGCTTTTATATAGAATGCAATTGTCATCTCTTGACCCCCTGAACACATACGTCCGTAATTACATGTCAAGAGTTACATGTAGACTTTTCTTAGCATTGCTATGATTAATATTAGAAGGAGTTTGCATTCCATAAGTACATAATAATTGATAATAGGGCAAGGATGAAGCAGGTATAAACTTGTCAAGGGGACCGGGGAGGGAGGCCAGCCTGAAACTTAAAGTTTGCCACAGAAAATCACAAAATATATTGTTTGAAGAGGTAATTAATATTTTGTGTGTATTGGGGGAAGGTGTTTGTTTTTGGTCATTTAACCTTTTTTTTTTTTTGGCTCTGTCAAGTCCCAGACCTAATACTAATTCAACACCTGATCTTAATCAGAGGAAATTAATTTGATCTTTCATGGGAAAATTACAAACAAAAAAAAAAACCTTAGCATTGCTAAAATTATACCCAAGATCCGTTT